CTGTGTTTTTATTATTACAATGTATCTCTTTTACCGAGAATATAGGTGGGTCATGGCTTTGTTTTTAAAACTTTAGTCTCACTCTCAGTTGGAGCCATTTAGGTCAGTTCCATTCAGTGGAATTTCTAACCCGTGTGCTATTTGCTCTTTGTTCCTTGTTCCTCTTTTCCTGCCTTCTTTTGGATTAACAGAGTGATTTTTAACATTTTCTTTCATATCCTCTATTGGCTTTTCAGCCGTATCTTTTCACTGTATATTTTTAGCTATAGATATATTTTCTTTAGTGTTTGTTCACTCTAGAGCAGTGATTTTCGACTGGTGTGCCATGAGAGAATCTTAGATGTGCTTCTAAAATTGTTAAAGATCATTAATTAAATTATTTTTGAAAGAAGTTCAAAACACAGTCGATCTATATATATATATATATATAGACTGTGTTTTGATCACATGTTTTGATCAACATAATTTAAGTGTGCCCCTGAAGTTTAAAGGTTCAAGTGTACTGTGAGGTAATGGTTGAAAAACACCAGTCTAGGCTCAGCACCTGTGACTCAAGTAGTAAGGTACACCCAAGGTGGGAGGTTCGAATCCAGCCAGGGCCTGCCAAACAATAATGACGGCTGCAACCAAAAAATAGCTGGGCATTGTGGAGGGCGCCTGTGGTCCCAGCTACTCAGGAGGCTGAGGCAGGAAACTTGCTTGAGCCCAGGAGTTGGAGGTTGCTGTGAGCTGTGATGCCTCAGCACTCTACCCAGGGGAGACAGCTTGAGGCTCCTGTCTAAAAAAAGAAGAAAAAAAAAGAAAAACACCAGTCTAGGGATTACAACACACATCCTAACATTGTTCTTACAGTTCTTATGCTTGGGCAATAAGGTAAGAAAAAGGACTGAATGACTGACTCCTGTATCACTCCAGTGAATCTTGACAACATCATGCTAAGTCAAAGAAGCCAGTCACAAAGAGCCACTTATCCTATGATTCCCTTGATGTCCAGAACAGGCAGATCCCCAGGAACAGGCCACAGAGTAGTGTCACCCAGGGCAGGAGAGGAAGGAAGAATTGGGAGGGGTGATGACAGAGGGTGACAGGGTTCCTTTTAGGGTAATGAAAATGTTCGGAAGTTGACTGGCTGATGGATGCACAGTGCTGTGACTATACTGAGAGCCGTTGCTTTTTACACTTTGAATGGGTGAATTGTATGGCCTAGAAATTACATGTCAGTTGTAGGGACTCAGCCATCACCTCTAACCCTCTGAAGCTCTTACGTGAGCTCTTTGGCCGGATCTGGAAACCAAACTTACACCAGGCAGAATAATAAGAGAAAAGCACTCCCATTTCATTAGCTTTACCTGTGTGCAGGGATTTCACAAGACAGCGGAGTCCGCAGAAGTAGCCAAAGCAAGGTGTTTTCATTCATTTTAGACAAAGGAAGATAAATTTGGGAAGAAATGACAGAACAAAGAAAATCTGACTAGGGGCAGTAACTTTTCTAGGGGAGTCACTAGGAGATAAATGGAAAGGGGGTGTAAAACTAGTGGAGGACAAAAGCCACTTTGTCAGATAGGTTTATTCAGGGCCACTGCGACCCCTAGTTCAGTCTTTGGTGACAAGGGGCATTTTCTCACGCTGAAAACCTTCAGGCTTGCAGCATGCAGGAAGACACAGGTTGGTTTGCCCTTTTCTGAGACTACAATTTCTACAATGTTTTCAACCTGAAATAATCAGTATACCAAGTAGCATATTTTGGGATGGTTCATCCTTCACTCCTTTTCAACAAATTTGTTAAAACAATACTGTATTTTCATATAAGGTAAGAACCTTACAACAATGTGATTTCATTTACCTCCCACCATCTGCTGTGCTATTGTTACCATATAGTTTATTTCTACGCATTACAAACCTTACCATGAATTATTTTGCTTTAAGTTGTCAATAGTCTTAAAAATTAAAAGAAAGTCTTTTTTGGCTTGGTGCCCATAGCTCAGAGAGTAGGGTGCCAGCCACATACACCGAGGCTAGAGGGTTTGAGCTTGGCTGGGGCCTGCTAAACAATAATGACAACTGCAACCAAAAGATAGCCAGGCAATGTGGCAGGTGCCTGTAGTCCCAGTTACTTGGGAGGCTGAGGCAAGAGAATCACTAAAGCCTAAGAGTTGGAGGTTGCTATAAGCTGTGCCACCACGACACTCTACTGAGGGTGACATAGTAAGACTATGTCTCAAAAAAAAAAAGTCTTTTTCTTTTTGAGACAGAATCTCACTCTATCCCCCCAGGCTGGAGTGCTGTGACCTCATACCTAACAACAACCTTAAACTCCTGGGCTCAAGCTATCCTCCTGCCTCAGCCTCCCAAGGGCCTGGTTGTTTTTTTTTTTTTCTATATTTTATAGAGATGGGACCTCATTATGCTGTTCAGACTGGTTTTGAGCTCCCAGCCTCAATTGATCCTCCCTCCTTGATCTCCCAAAGTGATTACAGGTGTAAGCCTGGCCAAAAGTCTTTCATTTTTACCCATGTATTTATTATTTTGAGAGTTGCTCAACCCTTCTTAATGATTTGAGTTTCCATGAGCATCATTTGGCCATATGAAAAACAGTTTTATTTTTATTTATTTATTTTTGAGACAGAGTCTCATTTTGTTGCTCTCGGGAGAGTGCCATGGCATCATAGCTCACAGCAACCTCAAACTCTTGGGCTTAAACGATTCTCTTACCTCAGCCTCCCAAGTAGCTGGGACTACAGGCACCTTCCATAACTCTGGGCTATTTTTTTTTTTTTATTGCAGTTGTCATTGTTGTTTAGCTGGCCCTGGGCTGGGTTCCAACCTGCCAGAGTTGGTGCATATGGCTGGCGTCATAACCATTGTGAGCACTGAGCCTAAAAAAAATTTTTTTTTTTAGAGACAGAGTCTGACTTTGTCACCCCCTATAGAGTGCCATGCTGCCACAGCTCACAGCAACCTCCGGCTCTTAGGCTTAGGCAGTTCTC